TACTGTAAATACCGAAAACGTATCATTTAACCTACTGTGATTACCTAAAATGCATCATTTAACTTACTGTAATTACCTAAAATGTATCATTTAACTTATTGTAATTACCTAATAATATTTCTTTTCCACTCTAAATTTCACAAATAATTTTTGATATATTATTTAATTTAAAAATAAAAAGCTATCGTTTTTTTTTGGCTCAACTGATATTTGAAGATATACACTATCAATAATATCATCTTTCAAGGATTTCCTATTCTAATAATCTATAACTAAACTATTGTGTAATGCCACCTAACCTCAGTAATACATTTTAGAATTTTTAAATTTAAATTATGATGAGAAGCGAACTATTTATGTGATAGTATTATTGATCGAAAAAAAACTTAATTTTATTAATCCTAATTTGTAAAATATTATGATAAGAAGTAAACTATTTATGTGATAGTATTCCATGTAACCATACTTTCCTTTATTTTTCAAATACAGAAATGAAAGAGGTGGAAGAGAATCGAAAATAAGAAATGAATATTTTAATTGAATTCCTTGAAGAATGGATTAAATAGGAAAAAATTTGAGAAATAAAAACTCAAAATTTATTTAAATATTTTAATTTACTATACCTTAGGATATTATATTTTTTTGCAGTTCCATTTCAATCAAATAATTTAATTCAAAATTTCATTTATTCTCTTATCTTTCCTTCCATTTATCCTTCAAAAATTAATTTAATTTCAGTTTATGTTTGATTAAATGAACCAAAAATTAATTTTCCTATATGTTTCATATATATTTTACTCGTCGAAATGAAACCTTTTTCAATAATGTCATTTAATTTTTCTCACTTTTACCAAAACAAAAATTTAATTTATACTTAAAGTTTTTAATTTTAGGTTTTATTTAATTTCAAATTAGAAATAAGCAAAAAGTAAATGCGAAAAAAAAGATTTTTTCAATTTTAAAAATATATAAATAATTAATTTTATAATTTTTATTTATTAATACAAATAAAAATGATTATTGTATGGATTGTCGACAAATTTTAATTCTTTCATTTAAAGAAATATTCAATTATTAATTTGGATAATAATTAGCATATCAATTTTATTATTAGATCAATTCAACTAACATATCACTTTCATTATTAGATCATTTCAACTAACATATCACTTTCATTATTAGATCAATTCAACTAACATATCACTTTCATTATCCGATTCAACTAGCATATCATTATTATTGCTGCTATCATTAAATGAAATATACATTTGCATGAATGGTATCATCACGACTACCTCTACCTGTTATCACTTTATATAGCATAGCTATAATCATTGAATAATATAAAATATAAAATGAACAAAATAACAAATTTAAAAAAATTAAAATTAAAAAATCATAAACAAAGAAAATTAAATTAGAAAATCAATATTAATAGAATACGAAATAGAAACAATGCAACTGGTAAAAATTATTAAAATGTTTTATGATATTAATTTTAAAAAAAATTTACAATCTTGCTATCAGTGATAATACAGTTACTGATAATAAATAACATTGCATTTAATACAATTCATCGATAAATTAAACACAACACACACATACATACATACACATACACACTCATCCATATGTACCTATTCACCAACGTAGACAGATACACATACACATAATGTTATTATCAACATTGATAATAACTATGCACTTAATAATTACAGTAATCGATAAATTAAACATGAGATACACCCACGCACATATGTATACATACCCAACTACATGCATGCACCCACATACGCACACCCATACACCCACTTATACAGATGCACATACACAAATCAACATTGCTAGTAATTACTGTTTAATAATTACAGTAATCGATAAATCAGACATATATATTTACAACTACTCACATGCATCTACATACGCACACCCATCCACCCACATATAATCAACATTGATAATAATATTGGATTAATAATTACAGTAATCGATAAATTAAACACAACATACACATACACACACACACATATATATATATACCCACCCACCCACATACGAGCATCTATCCACCCACATATACAGACACACACAGACACATACATATTTATTTTTCACATTCTAAGAAGTGAAAGGAATCGCTTTTCGTCGTCGTTATCCCATTGGAATATTATTTCGTTGAAAAAGAATATTACATAAAATCTATGCAATTTATGGTTTGCTTATTTTCTTTAAAATTATATTTATTATTGTTTTACTAATACAATTAATTTGTTTACTAATTAAATAAACCTAAAATTAAAATGAAATTATTTAATTAAAAAAAAAAAGAAAAATCTTTTTTGCAAAATTAAAATAATTTTTTATTTTCTCAAAAATTTTCTTTTCAAAATTCAAATTTCATTTCATATTTTTGTTTAAGAAAATTTTTTTAATTACAAATATTCTATTTCTTTTGTTTTTTTCTTAATTTTTTCCAAATTTCTCCTAAATTTAATAATTTCGAAAAATTTACAAATATTTTATTTTAAATTTTAAAATTTTATATTACTCAATGATTAAATTTTATATTTTATATTTTATATTACTCAATGATTAAATTTTATTTTAATTTTATTTTAAATAATTAAACTAAATTTTAATTATTTCTAATTAATTATTGCTAAAAATTTTGTTAGATGAAAGAAATGAAAATTATCGTTGTTTCTTTTCTGAAATATATAAATATTAATAATTCCGTTAACAAATTGTTGAAATTTCAACATTTTCATAAATGTCTCATCATTAATGCTTCCTTTTTTTCGTCCCTTTATCATAGAAAAAGATGGCATGCATGCATGCATGCATGCATGCATACACATTAATTACGGATTAATTATGTTAGATTTTGTTAAAAGACTTTCTCATTAGTATTTTCAGCTTTATAGGGATTAAGTTTAGCTTAGCTAAGCTAAGCTAAGCTTCAATAAGTTTTCCTAGTGGAAGCCTAGGCTTCATCTTTCTCATAGTGCAGACTATATGCTCGTACATAAATAAATATAATCTACATATATAAACATACACACACACATACACAGACACACACACACACACACACACACATATATATATGCAGACTTATTCTATCATTTTTCGCCTTACTTCTTTTACACTATTTTTTGTTCATATTAAGCGCACACCTATTATTATAATCTATTTTCATCATTTATATCGTTGTTTCCTTTTTTGAGATTAAACTATCTATCATTTTAACATCTTTAATTATTATTATACTAATATCAAAGATTTTTTACATTTCAAAATGTTCAATTATACCGAATATAACTTAGCTAAATTTTATTGTCGTTAAAATTTTTAAACAAACTATTATTTTTAAATTATTAAAATGATATATTATTTTGTTGTTATTATTGTAATTATTATTATTTATTATTATTGTCAATACTATTATCATGATTAATATTATTGCTAATATTATTATTATTAATATTATTATGATTATTACTATTATTATTATATTATTATTATTATGATTATGATTATTGTGATTAATATTATTATATTATGATTATTGTCAATACTATTATCATGATTAATATTATTGCTAATATTATTATTAATATTATTATGATTATTACTATTATTATTATATTATTATTATTATGATTATGATTATTGTGATTAATATTATTATTATTATTATTATTAGTTTAATTCATAAAATGAATGATAAGAAGAAGAAATGAACTAAAATAATGATTATTATCGGAAGTAATAATTGATTTATAAGGATGATTTTCTTAAGAAACTAACCATAATAAATGTAATTTCAAATTTTTGCAAAATAAAAAATTTCAAAGAAAGAAAGGAAAGAATTGTAAGCTTAATTTAAAACTTTTAGAATAACTAAAGAATTATTTGCTTATTTCTTTCTTTCCATTTCAAAATTCTCTTCACTCACTCTACTTTTTATCATCTTTCTCATATTCTTTTTTTATCACTATTTTCCTTTTTATAACTATAATTTTTCTCATAATCTTTTTTATCACTATAGTTTTTCTCATATTCTTTTTTTATCACTATTTTCGCTTTTTTTATTTGATTATTATTTTTAGGATATCATTATTATTATTATTATTATTATTATGATTTTTATTATTATTAATGTTATTATTATTGCTATTATTATTATGATTTTTGTTATTATTGTTTTTATTATTATTGATTATTATTATTTATTATTAACATTTATTATTGTTATAATTTTTATTATTATTATTGTTATTATTATTTATTATTATTATTACCATTATTGATTATTATTTATTATTATTATTATTATTAATAGTTATTACTAATACTATTTTTATTTCTCAATGCCATTTTTAATTTTATCATTGATATACGATATTTTTGCATTCATTTGATGATATCATTTTTTTTATTCTACAAATATTCAGTCCTTTTTTACATTCCTCATAAGTCTTACCTTATTCATTTCCTATACTAATTTCCTTATTCATTTCCAATATTAATTTCCTGTCCTTTTTTTATCTAAGCATTTAATAGAAATGTATGAAATTGTGATTTAATAAATCTATAATTTATATCTAATTTGAATTTTCTTTAATTTTTTATTTTAATTTCCTACAAATTATTTGCCTCATTTATTTCACTTATTTCCACACATTTATGCATACTTTTTTCACTTTTTATACAAACACCCACGCACATAGGCCCACACACACACACAGGAATACATAGACAGACCACACACACACACACATATATATACATATATGTTTGTTTATTCGCTATTGTCTTTTTATTAATTTTGTTAATTCGAAAAAAAGTAAGGAAAAGGAAGAAATAATATTTAGATATTGTTTTAAGAAATATTGTAGAAGAGAAACAAATTATTATTTAAATTTATTATGATTAAATTTTTAATTTATTAGAAAGTAAAGAAATATCAAAAAGCAAATCTAACAGCAAAATCGATGATGACACTTGGCATTGATGAAATTGCTAGGTTGGCAGCAGAAGAAGCGAAGAAAGAGCAAAATCAAATGAATGATGGCTTCAGTGTTGGAATCGGACGAAGAGTGCCGCTTAATTCAACATCCAAAGAAAAAGTTAGCCTTTTAAAAATCTCTTTACTTTGAAAATTTTAATTTTAAATAATATATGCATAAAGTGTGAAGAAAGGAAAATGGGACAATTAATGATATCATATAACAATAGCTTAATCATAAATAATAATGATAAGTGATATTAATGATAATGGTATATTTTTGATGAATAATTGAAAATTGTTAAGTTTTATTGAATAATTTTTGTAATGATTATATACTTTATTATATATACTTTATATTATATATACTTTTATTATACTTTATATAAATATACTTATATATTACTATATATACTTTCTATTATCTGTACTTTATAGCATTTGTTTTTATCTTTGTTGATAAATGATAAAGCAATTTTTATTATTTTTTTTTTTTTGAAGGAAATTATTATTACGATTATTAAGGCAATCATAATTATACATATATGAATACTACATTATCGTTAATTAAAATTATTAATTTAAAACAATCAAAATTATTCAATCTTATTTTTTTGAAATTTTAATTTTTAAAACTTTCTTGTTGTTGTTTTCTCCTTTCATTTTCTTTTGCTTAATCATATTACTAATAATTAATGAAATAGTTAGCTTTGAGATAATATGAAATTATATTATAAACAATCAAATTGATAACATAAACAAACACAGAAAAAAATATAAACATATTTGTAGCAAATAACATTTAAATTGCTGTAAGTAATAAAAACAAAAGCTTATGTTAATAAATTTGAAATTTTTCATTTTTAATTTTACGAAAAATTTTCATCGAAATTTATTGGATGGAAAGAATGAAAGAGATTATTACTATAGCTGGCTGTCATCATCCTTTTGTTCACTAATCGTTATTTCAATTTTTAAATACCTCATAGAATATTTTTCAAATTTCATTCTTTTTCTCTCATCTAAAATCAATAATTAGTTCTTTTTTTTTGTTCTTCATTAATTGCTGAAATTTATATTTTATTATATTAAATAAGTCAAACACCAAAAAGTGAAATATTTAGCGTTAATTATATAATTAAGGTAATGAATGATTAGAATATTAACATATGTTTTTGTCATAAATTTATTTTTCAATTTTCATAAATCACTTTTTTATTAATTGTTCTTATTCTTGTAAAATGAAAAAATAATAATTTAATCTTTTTATTATGATAAAATTTTAAAAAGGTTTTTGAGGAATTATCAATGATTGAAATTAGTAAGTAATTATTACTTTATCACAAAAGTATTACTTTATCATAAAAGTATTACTTTATCATAAAAGCATTACTTTACTATTACTTTATCATAAAAGTATTACTTTATATAAAGTACTACTTTATATAAAAGTATTACCTTATCATAAAAGCATTACTTTACTATTACTTTATCATAAAAGCATTACTTTATATAAAGTACTACTTTATATAAAAGTATTACTTTATCATAAAAGAAAAGTTAATTTCATTGTTCGAAAATTTTCTAATTAATAAAAATTATTTTAGTACAGAATGATTGGAATTTAATTTTTTGCTATTTTATTTATCAAAATTTTTGAGAAAATATCGATTAAAATAAGACAAAAATTTTAGTGACAAAAGTAAGAAAAGATAATTTTAAAATTTGTTAGTTAATTATTCTTAATTTCTTTATTTTAAATTTTGTTAAACAATGATGGAAGAAATTGGAATTTTTTACTTCAATTTTATTTAAGTATTACAAGATGATATTATTATTGATTGTTTCATTGTTAGGCTTTTTATTTGTTGACAGCTACAATTTATATGTTGCATGCAGGTGTTTTAATAATTTGTAGTAAGTAATGATGAAAAGAAATAATTTCAGAATGATTATTTTACTTTTTATAAAAGAAAATAATAATGTTATGATTGTAAATGATTACATTAATTAATACAATTAAACAATTATAATAATTAATAATTGTGAAGAATTGCTTTTTATTATTCATTTTATATTATATACATATTTTTACAATACTATTTAGCAGATTAAATAAATAATTTATATTTAAGAAATGAAATGAACTCATAAACGGCTAGTAATTAATGTGATAAATAATTGGAATACATTTGGATAATTTATCAATGAAATGATTAATGATTTATTATAATTAAAGCTAATTAAGGAAATGATTAAATTAGTTTTTTTTTTTTGGCATAATATTTAAATAAAAGCTAAAATAAGTTTGAAAATTATTATATTCAATATAATTATTATTCATTTATAATTAAAATATTTGAAATTAATTAATCATTACAGCTTATCAATAATTGAATTAGAAATGAAATAATATTTGGTTGATAAACTAAAAATGAACTCATATATTATATCTGAATATTTTTAAGTACTAAAATGAATGTTTATAATTTGTTGATATTATTTTTTTTTAAAGGGTCCAACATCGTTGTTCATATTCAGCGAGGATAATATCATTCGACGAAATGCAAAAGCAATCATTGATTGGGGACCATTTGAATATTTCATTCTTCTTACAATTATTGGAAATTGTGTGGTACTTGCTCTCGAACAACATCTACCAAAAAATGATAAAATGCCGCTTGCTGAAATGTTGGTTAGTAACTTCTTCTTCTTCTTCTATTGCTAATTAAAATGTTTAATTAAATAATTAATTATTAAAAAAAAAAAATTTATAAAATTTTTTAAATGATTCAATTTAAAATATCTTTTTGATAAATTATATGAAAATTATGAAATTAAAATATCTTTTTGATAAATTATATGAAAATTATAAAAAATTAATAAAACAAAGAATTTTTTGTTTTTTTTCGATTTTAAATATTTTACAAATAATTGCATTAATTAATACAATTTCAACAATTATAATAATTAATCCTTTAAATGATTAATATATTTTAAAATGAAAATTATTTTTTTGCATTTTAGCATTTAATAGTATTTTTGAATAATTAATTTAAATTCATAAATTTTTTGATTGATTATTTCTGAAATAATTAATTTAAAAAAAAGGAGTAAAATATTTTGATAAATTATATGAAAAATTAATGAATAACAATTTTGTTTTATATAATACCTTTTTTTTAAAACAATAACTTATATTTTAAAATATAAAATATATTTACATTTTAATAAAATTATATATAAATTATATTAATCGAATATATCGTATTGATTGACTATTTTTCAAGCATATATCTTATCATACCATATTTTTGTGATGTATTTTTTTCTTTTTCGTTATCATCAAAATTAATTGATAAGTTGTATTTTAATTTTCCTTCTCTCTTCATTTACGCTATTACTGAATAATAATATTCTTAATTAAATATTATATAACAATATTCTTAATTAAATACTATTTATGAATATTTGGTAAAACAAAAGAAAAGAGTAAATATAAATGAATGAATTTTTCTCTTTCTAATTAATAATAAATAATTTTTATGAAATATGAAAAACAATGGAAATTTTGTCAAGTCTTTTATTATTTATTATTTTACCGTTTTCTTCATTTTTTAAATTGAATTTATAATAAAAAGATAAAGTGAAATAGAAGAAAGGAGGAGAGTGGCAGGGAGAGAGGGAGGGAAAAAGAAAGGAAGAAAAAGAGAGAGAGCATTTCCTGTAAAGAAGAATCTTTCCATATTAATATGCAAGAAATCAACTGATCGATTAAATAAACAAATAAATAACTTTAACTATCGATAGTAATATCCCCCGCTCCCCCGGTACTTCCCATTGTAATTCATTATAATTTTCATCTCTCTTATTTTCATCAATAATATTAATTGAAATAATAGTTTTATTTTTCTATTATTTTCTTTCATTACATTTTGATAATTATACGATTATAATTAAGTTATTAAATTCATTATATTCAAAGCTAAACCAAAAGCTTTTATCACGAAATGAATTATTAATTAATCTAAAAACTGACAGATAATTCGTTCATTCCCTATATTGAGGAAAATAATGGAATTTTCATTCCATTAAGTGAATGAATATTAATATTAATCCGAAATGAATTATTAATTAATCGAAATACTTAAATCTCATTCATCCGATATATTTTTTTTTTCATTCATAAATAAATGAATGTTTAAAAATAATAGTGATAATAAATAACCTTCATAACTGAATGAAAAAATATATGTATCGGATGAATGTGATTTTAGTATTTCGATTAATCAATAATTCATTTCCTATTTATAGCTTTGATTTTGCCTTAACAATGAAAGTTAGCTGCAACGATTAACTTATAATAGTATAATTATTAAAATATAAATGAAAAAATATTGGATTATTGGCTGAGAAAAATATCTCTGTCCTATCAATTAATTTTTATTAGGAAAAAGAGGAAGTGAAATTGAACGAAATTTAAATGGTAGAATATAAAAGAGGAAGGATTAATTTCTCAAATTACCTGCGTTTGTTTACAATTATTTTTTTAAGTG